GATATAAGAGACCAAATAGATAGGATATAGCCAGATGGTGTGTTCAGTGTATGAGTGAGGGGAGGGGAATGGGAAAGGTGATTAGGCACCTATGTTTCTTTCTCTGAGAGAAAAAGAGATAGAGTGTGTGTGTGTGTGTCTTTGAAATCCCGAGTAAACGGACGCAGTATTAACATTTCACTGTAAATAAAAAAAAAAAAAAACACAAAGAACAACAGAAGAAAAAAAAAAAGAACTAAGATCACCATCATCATAATATTATGATCCCCAAGATCAATCAAGCAATGCAAAGTATTGTATTTTTTTTTTTTTTTTCCAACCAATTGACTACCCACTATACAAGGAGATTCATTTGCACCACTCCCTTCCAGAAGAAGAAAGAAGAAAAAAAAAAAAAAGACACAGATAGCGAAATAAAGAAACAAACATGAAAACAATACACGAAAAAAAAAAAAAGATGTACGCATGAACACGGAAATAAGATCATACACTTATATATCTATATATCTATATATGTATATATAGATATAGATAAATATATACACACACAAAGAAAAAAAAAAGAGAGAGAAAAAGAATAAAAAGTACTACACAATCTTGTTTCGCTATGGGATGAACTTGTGTGACTCTCCTGATCTTGGTAATTCTGCAATATCTGGAAACGCCAACTCCGTCATACGTTTAACATATCCCTGCAGTATTTCACTCTTCATAAGATATTCTGTTGCCGGGTCGTGCGCCCCAAGTTGTGTGGCGACCTGTAGCCATCCATATATAGTACAGTCGTAACTTGTGGGGTTGTTTCCAAGCAGGAATTTATTCTCACCAATGAGTGTCTCGAGGCTTCGCACACCACGGAGAAATTCTCGCGGGTACCAGGTGTCTGGGAGACTTCCATATCCAACCGCATTCAGTGCCGTAATGAGTGCACGGCGTGTGCGTGTCACAACGTTGTTTGCCTTTTTCATATCGAGATTGTACTCCTGTGCAAAGAGGTCTACCATTACCTCTGGGCGGTCAATGAGAAGACTGCGGTGGAGACCGTATGCGAGGGATGTCTCTGCGAGGCGGGCGGCGGCGAGTCCAAGGGCGTGTCCCTCCGCGCTGAGGCCTCTGTCCACCAAATCCGTGAGTTCCACCGGCGGTCTGCTGCTGAGAACCCCATCGCAGATTGTAAACGGCAGTGTTCGCATCGTTAGCGTCGTGATGGTGACCTTTGCGGCCTTATCCGCCTCCGACTTGGCCGTTGTTGCGATCATCGTGGGATTGGTGGTGTCGGTGACGAAGTGGACAATGTACGGTTGTCGTGCGAGGCGTAGAAGTGTTTCGAGGGCAACGCAGCGTGAGAAGTAATTGGGCCCGCGTGACCACCGGGGTGGAATGAAGAGATGCACAATGCCGGACTCCAAGGCGGCAATCCGCCGGGTTGTGCGGTGGACGATGGTGAGAGAGAGACAGACGGCGGCGGCGGTGAGGGTGGCGAGCAGCGGGAGTGGCCGGCGATATATCCCCTGAAGTGTATTCTCCATCAATCGTTTGCAAGAGAGAAAGGAGAATGAAATAATAATAATAATAATAATAATAATAATAATAATAATAATAATAATAATAATAATAATAATAATAATAATAATAATAATAATAATAATAATAATAATAATAATAAAATAATAAACAAGAAAGGAGATGGGGGATGTCTGATGGTGACAATAATACTAATAATGGTAATACTACTAATAATACTAATATTGTTAACAATGAGAGAAACTATGCTACTCGAAATCCTACAGTATGGGAGAAGAAATTAAGACAAATAAATAAATGAAAAGAGAGGGAAAGTGTGGGAGGGGGTGGGGGCTAAAGGATTAAATGTATAATACAAACAAATCCGGGGAGACCTCATAGGAGACAGCAAAAGAAACAAAATAAAACAAAGAAAGAATCACATTGGAACTGTTCAATGGGCAACAAAACAACAAAAACAGCAAAATAAAAAATAACAAGCAAATAAAGAAAGAAAAAAAAAAAAAAAAGCAAAACTGATAACATCAAAGACAGTCAACTTGTCCAAACAACAAAGCCTCCTGTGCTGACAACTGCGCAGAGAGATGCTCCCAACGTTCAAGTAGAAGTAACTCCGCCTCATCTAATAAACGTTTAAAATCTACAAATTCCATAGACTGTAAAGATGGATTCATTTTACTGTCACTACATGTAACAGAAGCAAGAGTATCTTTCGGCAAATTAGAATCATCCACCAAGAAAGAGAGTGGTACACTAGCAACTTCTTCTTCCTGTTGTTGTTGTTGTTGTTGTTGCTGTTCTTCTTCTTCTTCCATTTTCACTATTTCCTTTCCTCCATTTCCATTTTTCTTTGTATTGGCATTCTTCTTTTTATTCTTTTTCTTTTTCCGTTTACAACCTTCCCTATCACCCTCCTGTGAGCGATTCCCAACTGGTATTAGTTGTACGTGAACTACATCACTGTTATCGTCAAATGTCGTCTGCTGCTGAAGTTTTGCGTTATCATCGCCATAGTGGCTCTCCTCCCTGTGATCTTTCTCACATAAACCATTACCCTCACTATCCTTACTTCCTCCAATAATACCGATACCTCTATCAACAACACCAGCACTAACACCGTGTCCACTATCATGATTATCATTATGATCATCCATATCAGGAAGTGCCAACTTCATATTGAACTTCATCACCGTGGCCCCTTTTGGTACACCAGCCTCAATGTCTGCAAGCGTCACACCACCAATAGGGGCACAGGCATGAAGAAAAGTATCCCACAGCTCCTCATCCACAGAACAAAGAACACTAATAGAGGGATTAGCATAGAACGTTGCCAGCTCTTCCCCATTCCATCGTGAAATAAGTTCTAATGCAGCAAGAAGAACTCCTTGATTTAACGCCAGACGCAGTAATGCTCGAGTCCGCACTGCAGCAGTACTACGAACAAAAGTAGACTTGACAACATAAACTAGTTGACCAGAAAATTTTAAACGGTGGAGAGCTTTCCTAGCAGGATTACTTAATTCTTCTTGGGCAATTTTGTTAGGCACCCGTTCAAGTGTCTCAAGTACAGTCCACAGATCCAATCCTTCATGTAACCCCAAGGAGAGAACACGAATAAGATTCGTAACAAGAAGTTCTGATGATTCCTTCATGCTAATAGACTGTGAACCCGAACTCTGTAATGCATTCGGAGAAGGATTACCATAATTCGTCACAGTATGCGGGTGAAAAAGAAGCACCTGACGCACAGCTGTGTATAGCTCCCGCATTACCCTAATATTCGCTTCTTCTCTCTCTCTCTCTCTCTCCCCCAATTCAGAGAGTCACAGAATAACACCAAGAAAAAAAAAAGAAAAAAGAAAACACAGGAAGCAATAAATATAAACATGAAAAAACATATTATAAAACTTCAACTGAGAAATACGGACACAAATAATAACTCTCTCTCTCTCTCTCTCTCTCTCAATCTCTATCACTCACTTTCTCAGATAAACTCAATAGCATAGTAAAACATAAAAGCATCACCGTGGTCTCAGAAAGAAAAAAAACGAATACTTTTCTTCATTCGAAGTAAATTTCTTCTCTTTCTGCTACATAGAACTATAGCAACGAACGACTTAAACCTCAAGACGAAAGAAAAAAAAAAAAAAAAAAACACAAAAAAAAACAAATAAACTATTTTCTCCTACTATCTAATCTCGCATACCGTTAACTAGAATTTCTACAGCGGCATCTTCTTGACCATTAGCAGCAATCAATGCTGCTCGAATAGCATCAGCATCAAATCCCATTCCAAGCTCCATAATATGTGCTATTTGTACTTCTAGAGAGGCATCTGAAGCATTGAAATTAGCATTACTACTGTTCGAAGAAAACCTTTCACGATGACGAAATTGGGACCCAGCGGAAGAAAAATCATCATAAGAATACACAGATGGATACCGCTGATCTCTGCTTCCATTAAATCCAGAAATATTGTCCACAGTATAACGACCTCCACCAGCAGACTGCCCACTCCCGTGCTGTCGAGGGACACTAAGTTCCACAACATTCTTGGCGCCAAAAATGGCAGTCAAAACAGGTTGCAGGAAGTTCAGGAATGGACGACAAACACGGAGGCTAAAAAAATCAAGCCACCACGACAACAGCCGCGTCTTCGTTGTAGCAATTCCAAGCAGAACACCAAAAAGGGTCAGCAGTAAACGTGTCCAAAGACCAATGTCCACGTGAATGGCACGCTGCTTCTGCGTTCTCGCACGAATCTGTGTGTCTGGAAACAATAACAGCCGCAAAAGCGGAAGAAGTACCCACAGTTTCTCCGACAAAACTATCGATGTCACGGGAACACGCCATTGGGATAGCGAAGGAACCTCCATAAAGCGACGCGTTACGAGCGCCACTAGAGGGACAATAGACCCTCCTCCACAAAGTACGCGCAGTTGCTCCAGAGAGAGCGAGGGGGTGGACTCTGTGACAATTACGTTCAGCAGCACCGAGCCAGCCATCGCTGTTGTCAGTACGAAAGCAAGAAAGGGTGCAGATCCCCAGCGTCGCTCAAGAATCCGCATCTGAAAGAGCAACGCCATGGCGCAACTGATATCCGTCAGAGAAACACCGAGAGAGCCAAAGGGTAGGGATTCCAGTGGAAGTCGCCTGATGGTCGTCTTCCAGCCAGGCAACACATCCTGACGCTGCGGCGTAATGTACTGCTGTGACACAATGCTTGTGGAGATGCTACAGATGCCCAGGAGAAGCCCTGTCACAGGAGCGTGCTCGAAAACCATTTGCAGCTTTCTAGGGTGTCAAAGAAAATCCAAGAGACACAACACAGTATGGAAAAGGAAAAGAAAATAAACTCATGGATCAGGCACAACAGCTCAACAAACACATAAGCATCAAACCTGTAAACAAAAAAAAAAAAAAACAATGGGAAACGATGTTTCTAAATACCACCACCACCACAACCCAAACGACCCAAATCCCATGCAGACAGCACGGTTCTGTGAGAAGAAATTATTCAGACATCATGTCCCTCTTTAGGGGAAACAAAAGGTTCGTGCAGCCTCAAACGCACAACACCAGGTCAAAGAGATCATTGCCAACGTCCTCGCTGCGCAGCACACCCATCTCTTGCAGCTCGTTCAGGCTAAGCCAGCCCAACGTACCCCATTCAATAAACGCATCCTCCACTATCAGCCATGGGCTCTGAGGTTTTGCGTCAAACGAGCACTGAAGCTCGGCCCTGACACTGGGAATTGTGGAGTAGATGAGCACGAGGCTGGCGTTGTTACCCTTTCCCACGGGAACTCTGGTGCCAGGTGGAGAAAAGACACCCTCAGCCCGCGTGTACACGTTCACGCCACACACACCATGCAACGCATCGGCATCCGACCACTCAAATCCCGTGGCCCCGCACTGCAGAGGCACCGTCTCAACAAACACCTCACGAAGGTGCGCAGACTCATAAACGATAACATCACAGCTCCGTCGTGGCTGTAAATAATGTACACGATATGGATTGAGCTGATATCGCAGAGCCAGCATCCAGTGGAACTCTTTGCCGCCTATAGCAGTAACCACAACAGAGGAGAGATCGTACCCACTCGGATTAGAGTATGCTCGCGACAACGTGCTGCGAGTGCAACTCTGGGGCCTCTCGCCGTCACCGTCCCGTAGTTGTGGCTCGCGGTATGTGTGTAGTGAGTGGAGGTGTTCTGGCGACACCAACACGGCAAACGGAGGACAACCTCCCATGCACGTTATCTCGATCACCGGCGTGATGATCCTGTTCGGGGCAGGGGGCATGGCTAATCCACGGCAGTTGCCGAGAAATATGAGGTGCCCTACCAAGAAGAGAGGGATTAGCGTACTGATGCACGAAGATCACAACTCAACAAGCAGAGAGGAAGGAGAAGTAAAGTGCAGAGGCACGGGTTTGCATATTGGAAAACAAAAAATATTGCTGGTGTTTTTCTCATCACCATGTGAACAGTTACAGGGTAAATAATAAATCGAAACTGGGAGCGTGACACGAAGAGGAGGAGGCCATCACAGCACAGTCCCGTTCTGGTACCGGCATTGTACTTGTGAAAACCGTACCCCATCATCTGCCACCAGAGAAACACAGACAAACAAAAATACATAGAAACAATGAGTTACACGATACCACACACTCACTAACGTTTTCCCGAACACCTCCCACGCTACGGGATCCCGTAGACAAGCTTCGCCATGCTTTGTTTCTCTATCTCCATTAGCCGATGGTGGAACTCCTGCGGCTGAATACGAGAGCGAGCACTTCCAGTAATTCGTGGACTTGAGGAATGTGACCAGGCTCTTAGTGGAGCCGCAGGGGGCTTGTGATGTGCAGCGTACGCAGTTACTTCGCCATCGACACATGGTGCGACCGTACTCCGTCTGTCCAGTTGCGTCCACGGTTGGCCCGACAACAAGGACGACGACCTGGGTGAATCGTTCAAACCTCTCTCACGCGGAGCAACCGACCAGCTATTACCAAACACCTTCCGCCTCGCGTGCGTGGTGTCCGCATCTAGAATCACTTCAGGCATACAGACGACGGGCGGCTCGCGAATGCCCTGCTTCTTGGACCCTCTTCCATGTGCCGGACAAGCCTCCATGGTGTCACCCACAACAACAACAAGGGGAGTGAAGGTTGTGTCTGGCAACATCCCAGGGCAGCGCTGATTCTGTCGCTGCTGCACCCAGATGGGGCGGTGTTGCGCATATCGACTGTGTGGCCTGACGTTCTCATGACTGAGTTGCACCGTGGGAGCTGCAGTCCCCACAAATACACGGCCATCCGATGGTGATGACATGTTTCGTGATACAATTTCAGTAGACACATTTGGCAAAAACCAGGAGGACTCCTTCGCGGAAAGGACATAAAACGGTCGGTGTTTCCTCCAGGACACCCTGTCATTGTGGCCCTGCTGTCGTTCCTCGCCCCTGCAATGAGACGCAGGAGCGTCATCTCTGCCACCCTCTGGCCTACTGTAGTTGTGCATTTGCGCGAAGAGTCTCGTCGCGTCACGCTGCTCCTTTAAATAGTCCTTCGCCGCCACCAAAAAGACACCTCCGGGTACTCGTCCCGCTCTACCAGAAACGAACACAGAAACCAAAAGGGAAAAGGAAGAAGGTAAGAAAGTTGATTTGCAAACAGAGACGGCGTGAATGGGGAGGACTAAGAATATCACACACACGCAAACAGATAAAAACCACGCAAACAAGGGCAGACTGGGTGTCGTTTTGCCCTCCAAACCGCAGAACGCAGTACCAAGGAAGCAGGTGAAGGTATTT